CCACTCCCCAAGTCAATTGACCTACTTCTCGGATCAGATTGGCGTCAACTCGCTAACGTGGAAGTCACGTTTCACGTTTAGAACGACATAACCATCATTGAACTACCTAAACGTTACGATTCGCCCGCCGAGATTCCAAAGACGACAATCTCCGGAGAAGCTCTGGTGTCCAACTTTCACGAGAGACTGCCCCAAGCTGAACGCCTGGCCATGTTCGTGAAGTTCGAGCCAGCACGGAATGACATCGAAGCAGCCCTAATGCAACGAATCCACACGGCTGTGGACAGCATTACCGAAGACGCCTCGCCGGAAGAACGCGAAAGACTTTTTGGGATACTCACAAAACACCACGCTGCGTTTACGACGGTGGAGGAACAACTGGGTACCTGCCCACACGCCGAGCATTCGATCGAGCTACGCGACGAGATCCCCGTGGCGTCGCGGCCCTATCGATGCTTCCCAGCCGACCGGGAATTCATCAAACGACAGGTCGAAGACTATCGCGAGCGTGGAATTGTTCGCGAAAGCCAAAGCGAATATGCTGCACCGACGCTTGTGGTAAACCAGCCGAACCATCCCTCGACTCCAAGACGAATGGTTCACGACTACCGAAAATTGAACGCCAAAACAGTCAACCCGCCGTACCCCATGCCTCGAATGGACGACGCACTCGACGATGTAATGAGGGACGGCTCCCGTTACTTTACTGTTATGGACGTCAAGACCGCATTTCTCACCATCCGAGTGAAGCCGGAAGATGTTCACAAGACAGCCTTTGTCACTCCAGATGGCAAGTACGAGTATCTCCGCATGGCCTTCGGGTTCTGTAAAGCGCCCCAAACTATGCAAATGGTCATGCGAAGAACTTTCGACGGACTTCCCCGAACAGCAACGTACATGGATGACGTTGGCCAAGGCGCAAAAACCGTAGCTGAGGCTCTGGAACTTCTAGACGAAGCCCTACGACGCATCGTTGTGAACGGACTCCGCATGGATATCGCGAAGTGCCAGTTCGTACGAACCAGCGTTCAATTTCTCGGGAATGTGATCACGGCGGAAGGCAGAACACCCGATCCTCAGCGTGTTTCTGCAGTCGACAAGTTTCAGCCCGAGAGGGATGCAAAGCATCTTTACTCATTCCTACAGTTCCTAAATCACTTCCGAAAGTTCATCCCGGACTTCGCAACACGATCATCACCGCTGCGTAAGCTACTGCTGAGGGACGCGAGCTTCGAGTGGTCTGACGAACATCAAAGGATCGCCGACGACCTGAAGCACTGTCTGAAGACTCCGTCGGTTCTGGCCACCTTTCGGAGTGAGTGCCCCAGCACGGTTCACGTGGACGCGAGCCAAACGGGCTTTGGAGCGATCCTGACGCAGAGACACGACTCGTGCGACAAGGTAATCGAATACGCAAGCAGATCTTTGAACGCGCACGACAGCACCTTGCACATTAACGTTCTCGAGTGCATGGCGCTACACTAGGCCATCACGGAAAAGTTCGCAATATACTTGCGCGGAGGCCCACGATTTGCAGTCATTACGGACAGCATGTGCCTCACATACCTTGTTAAGAACGGCCTGACCAACCGAAGATTTGCACGGTGGATCCTCGACCTCTCGGACTACGAGTTCGAAATCGTACACCGACCGAGTAAATCAAACAAGGCGGACGCCCTCTCACGTCAGTACGACCCGGAAGACTCCCAGACTCTTCTCACTTTCGCCGGAGCGACCAACCCCTCCCCCATCTGCTTGAATGCGCAAGTGAGCACGAACAGCCGCCTACGGGAACAGCAACAGATCGACCCGTTGTGTCAGCGACTAGCGTCACTGCCCGGAAACGACTACGGACGGTCGAATGGGATCTTATTAAAAATGGACGAAAAGTTCAAGAGAATCGTTGTGCCAGCCACACTTCGAGATTCTGTTATGAACATATGTCATGACTCGACTGGACACATGGACGTGGAGCGAACGACGGAACAAATCAAGGGGAACTACTGGTGGCCTCAGATGTTGCGAGACATTCGGGAGTACGTTCGATCGTGCAACACGTGCCAACGCGTGAACCAACGAACCACAACTCGAGAAGGCGCTCTGCAACCTCGCGCAGTTCCAGACTCTCCGAACACGACAGTCTCTCTCGACCATTTCGGACCACTGGAAGAAAGCAACGGTCAAAGGCATGTCCTCGTTTGCATCGACCACGCGACTCGCTACATTGACGCTGTCGCCGTGCCATCTACAGCAGCACACTTTTACGTCGACTTTGAATCGTTGGATTCCGAGATTTGGCGTGCCCACGACAATCGTCACCGACCAGGCTGAAAGCTTCGTCAACAAACAGACTGCCGCTCTGTACAGACGACTTGGAATCACGCACGTGACCTCACCACCCTACTGGCCTCAGGCCAACGGTCTTGTCGAACGGATGGTAGGGACGCTGAAGAATATAATTCGAAAACTCATCGAACCTCACAAGAATTGGGAGAAGATTCTACCCGAGGCAGTTTTCTCTGTCAACGTTTCGCGACAGAGTTCGTCACGCTTCAGCCCCTTCGAACTCATGCACGGTTACGTCCCGAAACTTCCCGGACAGCTCAACATCGGAACAGTTGAGGCTGACCTAGACGAGACGACTAGACTCCACAGGTTGGCAAGACAGCGGCACGACGCGAAAAACAACTTGGAAAACTCTCAAGCTTCGGCCAAAAGCCGGTATGACGCAAGGAGCAAGACCCCGAGATTTAAAATCGGCGACTCCGTTTACTGCAGCATCGGAGCGAGGTCAAGCACGATGGACCCGTTCTTCGAGGGCCCGTTCGAGATCAAGTCCTTTCTAACCCCAACCACCGTGGTCATCAAAAGGCTGCAATCCATAAAAGGACGACAAAACGAAAGAAAGGCAAACGTCGAGCAACTCCGCCGACACAATACACGCACACCAGCGGCACCGGAGTTATCCGACACCTGCGTCGGCCGAGCGCTCTCCGGCGCAGATGAAAGCGATGAACGTGAAGACGAGGACGGATCCGAAGCCCCAACGCGCGATAAAGAAAACTACGGAGCACTCATCAACGTCGAGGATGACGCTGCAGGTCAGCAACTGTCAAGGACGCGCAGACCTCCGGCCTACCTTGCGGATTACGCGTTGGAGTGATTTGAGGACAAATCATATTTAAAGGAGGGCGTGTCAGCGTCAAGCGCCTTCCGCGCGGAGAGCCACCTTGCCTGCCAGACAGAGACCCAGACAGTCGACCAAAAATTTCGTCCAGCCCGGGCTTTCCCATTGCACCTCCGTGGAGCCCCCAGAATCGGGCCCCCCGGTTTACGTGACCCGGGCGGGATTCCGAGGCGAGAGGAGCAAGGCGTCGGGTTACGTCTCACCGAGGAGAAGCCCCTTTGCAACAGAGACGACTCCGGGACGCCGTACGATACGGACGGGACGACCGCTCTTCCCTCCGACATAATTTGTAACCTTGTGTAACCGATTGTAATCCCAGTTAATAAACGTCTTGTTAATTTTAAATCAACCCCAGTCTACGCCTTAAACTTACGATCATCTACGAACTCCCAAAACCCCAACGGATAACCTGACAATAGCACTACTACTGTGCAGGTACGAGCCCTTCCTTGTTTTGCTACATTCCAGAGAAATACCCATAGAAAACTAACTTGTAATTACAAACTTACCAGAAACTGTACTTAAGGTACAGGCACCAAAAAATATAAGACCTTGGTTTGCATCTTAGGCGTGCAAAAAGGCAATTGTGAAATTCCAAGCAAGCGCCCACTCAAAGTGGGAGATAATCATACAAAAATGGGAATGAATTTTTTTTCATCCGACAAAACAGCATAGAAGCAGTGTGGGGACCTGGTGGAACCCGTAATTTTTAAACCAGGTGCACCACCCTTGTGAAATCTGCTTTGCAGTGGTGCTCTTGCGTCAAGCTTCACCACTTTGCACGGGCGCATACAGATAAAGCTTCACTGCTTTACATCGGCTTCTTGGAGAAGCAGCCGATGTGGAAGAGCATCTCAGTTAGCTCAACGGGCCCGGAAGGTTGCCGGGGCTGGAGGTTGATACGTCCTTCGCTTAAATTTCAAATGCTCCAATAATGAGGGGTGGGTACCTGTTGCAATGTGTGTGCATGCTTTGTATTTTACAACACATACTTATTTGCAGTTACTCGTCCGTACATACTTTACAATCCTACCTGTGTGACATTGGACAACACAAAGAAGAGTTCTGGAAGATTAGTCCACCATGACAGCATGACGGTGGCAATCGGACACTGTCTCGAAGCTGTGGGTGATGAAGCACGACAGCACAATGCACTACAGCAATGTGGTTAATTGGGCTAGTTGGTTCATAGTTTAAAAAGTAAAAGCACTGAAAACAACAAGGAATAAGACTAAGAGTCTGCTTTTATTTTTGGCGCTTCATGCTCTATAAATTATGGACCAATTATAGTCCAATCGGAAATAAATAGCGTGCAACAAAAAAATACACTCGAGGACGAGAGGGAACATGCAAACGACACAAGCGCTGTTTGGATAGTTTGCACGTTCCCTCTTATTCTTGTCCATATTTTTTTGCACGCTGTTTCTTTCCAATTGTACCATGAACCAACTCGCTTACATCACGACTTTAATCCAATTAGTCCACTTTACCCAACGATTAAACAGCGCCGAAAAAACGCAGGGACATGAGATGAAGGGAAACGGGACAAGACCCTGTGTTTTTTCGGCGCTGTTTATTTTTTGTTTGCAATGAACTAACCGGCACAAATCTCCACATTAGAACTTTACCATTCTGCTGTGGGTGATGGACATGATTGCGACTGTCCAGCAATGCGTTTACACGAATCGAGACAGTCACTTAAACACACGTCTCTTTCAATTGTTGTCCACCATGCGATTGATCTCAATGACACTGGACATGAGTGCCATGTTTCACAGATAAGTCTGCTTTGAAGGCATCGAAAGGCTCACTATGGGGGGATGTCTTAGCAAGATTTATTCTGCTTTTGTCGACGGCTACACGGGCAATGCCAAATTGAATGGTGTTGCTGCTGAGCACAGGTTGATTACAGGCTTCCAGCGTGTCCTTTGCGCACCATCAAAGTTGTCCCGAGCTGGTAAGTAGCTATAGACTGACGAAATAGAAACGGCAGTGCATTTTTTTAATGTCTCCAGCAAGCGCTTTGTGCCTTCTGCCATGCTTTGGCATCATGAGTCTGCCCAAGTTGCATGAGACGCAAAAGTGTGGAAACTGGGAAGCTCGTGCTGGACTATTGACTCTGATCTTAAGTTATGAGGCCACTTGTATTTTGAAGGCTGCATTCCTAGATTGCTTGTTCACAAAAGTTGATGTATACTTTGGGTGAAATATGCTATCGAAACACAAAGGAGCAGGCAAAGAAGCTTTAATGAACTATGAAGTCATTTTATTTTTTCTCCACAGTGCATGGTGATAAAATTAACCCTAAAAGATGTGCACAAGGTTGCACTATCTGCTTCCATTATCGTGGACTTGCATGACTGAAGCCAGAGTCGCATAACATTATGTTAGAACCAAGGACATCAGAAACAAGTAAACAAAGTAACTTTAGGCATTGCCAACAGGGCACAGTCGCATCAACATGAGAAGGGTAACAAACCTGAATCCCTCTCTTCATGTTAAATAATAGTGATCAAGAGATGCATGAGGGAATTTTGTTCTGCTTTGAAGAGTGCAGTCTGCTACAGTTCAGAAGTAGGCTTTCCCACATGACTGCAAAAAAGCCTCCTTCTAACTTTGAGACCCCTGTAGAAAAATGTGAGTGAGAATATGCATTTTTTGCAACAAGCTTTATATTTGGGCGTCACACTTCACATATCATATGAGGAAGATATGACAGACGTCGAAGATCATGCGGTAGGTGCCCTGTCTGCCATCAAAAAACAGAAAAAAAAGAAAGAAAAAAACCCATTTGCATTTAGCAACAGCCAGCAATCCTGCTCTCCAGTTGGTCATTTCCAACCTGCAATCACCGAGGCTTGTGGAAGGCGAGATGACGCCGTTCACAGCAGAATGATCACTGGTCACTGGAGTACTTCTTAAAGAAAACAAGGTAGTGACTAATCAGGGACGTGTTGGTTTGGACCAATGCGAGTCTAACGCCCGAAAGTTCATGTACTGGCCAAGAATGACTGCCGATATCTCAACTTTCACTGACAGGTGAAAAACATGCAAGAAGTTTGCTTATCGACAGCCTGAAGAACCTTCTGTCTTTGCGCAACCCTCCAATTATGGGCCAGGGTAAGAAAGATTGTTCCAACATGCTGGAAAACTCTACACGAGTCTGTACAGTGCATACTCAAATTTCCCTCTGGCACCACATCCAGATCATGGCACACACACATACACATACAAAGTTCAATCTGGCTTTGGCGGAACATCCAAATCACTGTAAACACACACTTGCACACAGTCCAAACTGGCTCTGGCAACACATCCAGGTCACTGTACACGCACACACACACACACGAGACCAAACCAGCTCTAACAGAACATTCAAGTCTACACAGACACACAGAGTTTAAGTTGGCTCTCACAGACCAACCATACCATTGAACACACAGAGTCCAAAAAGTGTCCGGCAGAATGCCCAAATCACAGTACATTCATGAAGTCTAAAACTGGCTCCAAAAAAAGACCACTGCCACAACCCTAGTGAGGGCGGCGAGGATGAAGGCTATGAAACCGACGACGGACGCGACGCAGGTGGCTCGTGCAGGGTGTGAGCACGAGGCGGTCTCGCACAGCCTTCCCCCGTGCGTAGAGGCACCTTGACTGCACGGAGATCCGCTCCTCAGCTGCGTCACTGGTTTCGTCCTCGTCGTCGGAACTGCTGTCGGACTCTGAGTCTGACGGTGGGTATGGCTCAGGCTCCTCCGAGCAGAGGCAGACGTTGTGGAGCACCGCGCAGGCTGCCGCAATCGTGCCGGCGATCTTCGGGTGGTGGAACAGGGTCCGGGGCCTCTGCAAGCACCGGAACCTGCTCTTCAGCAGCCTGATGCAGCGCTCCACAACCGCCCTTGTGGAGGCGTGGGCGATGTTGTAACGCCCGGCCGGGGAGTCGAGAGACGGCCGCCCGGGCACGGGGCTCAAGAGCCACGGCTCCAGTGGGTATGCCTCGTCGCCTGCACATTAAATAGGAAGGCTATTCTTAGACGTGTGCACCACTCGCTAAGCCTTGCACCAGCCTTACTGATTATGCTTCATCCTTCAGATGTTTCATTTTGTGAGCATGTTTCCACAATAACCAGTTAGTCTGTAATTGGGCGTTATCAAATATTTGCCATGTAATACAAACATTTCTAACCTACAAGTGTGTATTATGTTTCTGTAGCTCTCATGCACTGAATGATGGAGGCCTTTAAAGATACACTGACACCCCCCCAAATTTTTATTAGGCAATTTAATATGGTGTCAGGACACAACCCAATTAATATTTTGCTGCAGAGTCACATACCTTTTTAATAAAGCCAAAAAAAACCCCAAATTCTCTGAAACCAAATGGCATATTGCATTCCCATATTAAACTTCACATTGTGATGCCTACAGAAATATGAACACAGGAAGCCTTTTAAAGTGAAGTAATTCTTAAGTCATTATTTGAACAGTATTATCACCCTTGATGACAATTACAAGCACGCTGAAGTGGTTTACCGTGCAAGCCTGTGTCCTAAAAGAAATAAAGACATCAGAAATATTAAAGCAGGCATTTTCTTACTTTTTCCTGACTTTCTCCCACACTAATACCAAATATAAAAAAAATAAAATAAAACACAGTTAAAGCGTTATTTGAATAATCTGAAGGTTAATCAATGAACTTCCCAGTCCCAATATGCGTTAGGTGAGGGCGGAGGGTGATCGGCAAGTCTCATGAGAGTCACTAGCCCTTATCAGTGAAAGAGTTTCGCTGCGGTCGACGCCATTTGTGTTGTGGTGTGGGTTGACCGTTTGTTGGAGTTGCAGAGTCTACTATGTATGAATAGAAGATTATTTAGCCTCAAATTTATAATATTAGCCTTTTGACATCCACGGCCCTCATTGAGAAAATTGAAGCAAGTGAATCCACACTATCGAGAAAAACATCTACCGTAATCACACGCATGCTACCGCGTTGCTCAGTTACACCTGCTTGTTCCGCTCGTAGCAGATATATTAAAATAGTTTGTTTCACTTGTTTCAGTTGTCCTGCCAACAGTTTCCAGATCGTAACTAGAAGAGGCGCTTCCTCTTCATCACAACGTAGCAGAATTGTTCTGACTCCAAAAACTTTACCCACACCATGGGAAACATTGGCTGCAGCAGAATTCAATAGAACGATAATTTCCGATACAGCACTAACTTCTCTTCATGCTAAATAATTAAATTACTGCAAAAGCCAAAAGTTGCAAAAACAAAAATGCATAGAACCTGCTGTTTCAAAGCTTACAGTGCCACTATTATGTTATCCAGGTTGGAATTTATTGTTTTGTTGAATTCCCACGCTGGTGAACCGATTCACCTATTTTAAAAGAAGCAAATATTTAACATACATAGCACAGTTCACCTAAAGACAGGCATCCGTCGTGGTGATCTATGCTTCCCAATGTTTGCCTAGAGCAGATAGCGCATCCACACAACCCATTATGTAAATTTAGGTTGTACGCTGGTAACGCGATTCAATCTTCACTGAAGCACCGAATGGTACGGCACCATTTTCCGCTAAAATTGTTTTCCCACCAGTACTGTGCAACAAAATAAATGCAAGGAGCTACACCATCTCGCGCGCGAACGCGGAAAGCCCATAGACCGTTCCATTAGGGTCATAGCAGAGAGGGTAAAAGAGACCCCGCGTGTCGTCCGCTCCGCCGAGTGGGGTGTAGCTAGCGTCCGGCTGGCGTGCAAACTCTGTTTAAAATCGCGTCATTTTGGAATGCGCAGATTTTGGTATGCCAGTTGTCGTGTTATACTATGCTAGATAAAAAGACTCACAGGGTCCAATTGCGCTGTTACCTGCGTGCAAATAAAAAAAAAAATAGGAAAAACTGTGTCAGATTGGTCGGTTTCTTTGTCGAAAAGTAAATCCGGTTCCTGTACGTTTTTTTACTATACAAAGTTCGTACTGGTGTAGGACTTTAGAGACCATGAGTGGAAGTCTGAAATAATAAATAAAACATGCTCTCCTGCCGCAATACACGCAGTAGTTGAGGGTAGTACTGCCGGCTGACTCAACTGCTATTTAAGCAACGGAAAAAAGATAAGCTAGTTGGTCATTTAGCAAAATAGAACAGCAGAGAGCTCTATGCTGATTTTGGAGTAGCCACAACTATTCTAAGAACGCGAACCACTTCACAACGGCAGCCACGAGCGAGAGTTCGATGTTCGGTAGAGCCCGCCGATACAGCCCAAAGATGGAGAACGGCAACCTCCCGGTTTGTTGTCTGCTAGCGGAGTCGGGCGCGTGCCCTCTCTCTCGTTTTAACCCGCCGAACCCGCTGAACTTCCCGAATGTGTGGAGAGGGCGCTGCGTTCAAACAAAATGGTGCCGCCCAGAGAGCGCTAAATGGAATGGTCTATGGGCGGCCATGCTTCTATCCCCGCTTTGATGATGATGATAGCACGACAACGCCACCTGTAGTTCGATCTTGAGGCCAATAGATGCCTCATGCGCCACAATATTCCTCGGCGCCGAGAAGAGCAGAACCAACTGGCGAACTGTTTTCTACCACGCGCTTTTCTGCATTACCTGGCTCGTTCGTGTCTTGTGCACCATCTACTTTTCGGCGGTTACGTGGAAATAAATCTTGACTTGAGTTAGCGTGAATGATAGTGAAAGAGGTGGTGCAATGATTTTCAGACTTCGGCCAATTAACTGCGTAAATTAATCACCTGTCACCTATAAAATGAAAAACAGAAAACGATTTTTTTTTTGCGAGTGATAGTTTTTATTTTAGGAAATTAAATCAAAGGTCAAAGTGCCTCTCAACTCTCCACGTCACCTTTCGAGTGAAGTACTCTGGGGGACCAGGTGGTTTCCCCTTGGGTTCTCTCTTCAGAGACCCCAGCCGCTTCCTCCGCGATTGTCAACTTTTAAAGGATTAGCATCGTCGAAGATTGTGGCGAGCAATTGACACAAAAGACAATTCGCCACAGGGCTGACGGCAAGTGTAGCAGCGGAGGGGGACAAATTTTTGTTGACTGCGATATATCGCCCAGTGACGCTGTCACCGTAGTTCCTGTAATCGCCACTTGTTGTTGCAGATCGGCAAATAATTCGTTTTTTTCTTTGCGATTATGCAGCGGAATAGCATTTTTTAAAGGCAAGGCAATGAGTTTTTAGTCACTTGTGCTTGGATAAACAATATAAAAAATACAAACTGTCAATTCTTTCAATATTAAAATCGTTGCACTACCCATTTAAGTTGCCCTCAACTGGAACTTTCGAGCACTAGCTCAAGGAAGCTCACCGAGCAGGTACTCGCCGTCCTCGAGCAGTCTGCCGGCGACGCACTCTTGGCGCACCCAAGATCTCCTCCACACGAAGGAGTCGTGCGTTGAGCCCGGCATGCAGGGGTCGAAGGCCAAGATTCTCATGTCGGCGTCGCACACCTAGAATGAAAAGGGGTACGGCTCTGAGAGGGAGGCAACAGAGTCATGCACTCGGTCGCAGTTGTTATTAAGAAATACTCCAAAACCAAGGTGAAGACGAGATCAAAGTAACGAGAGAAACAGCTTGCTCTTTGGCTTGCTGACTCTGCCTCCCCCATATTTAAACTGTTTCTCTCGTTAGGTCAAGCGTTTTTTTTTATTACTTTTAACGCTAATTTTATTTAGAAAGAGAGAGGGAGTTATCCTCACCTATGTTCCAGCCCCAACTTTGAACACAATGCAGGCATCGATCGATGCTCTTCAATACACTTTTATAAATGCCCCCCCTCGTGACACTGTAGAATTTTTCTTGACGAGCTTAAGTATTCCCAGACTTTTCCATCGCTACGACGAGCCACTTTCGAACGTGTCTAGCTACTAAACGTTCAGGCCGGCTCCTTGGCCACTTTTCGATTCTATTTTGGTATATTCATTAACCCTTTAACCACCCGGCCCGAGCTGTACTCGTCATGGAAGGTTGTACCAATATCGCCGATGACTAGTCACACTCGTCCAGCCAAAAATGAGGGTTTGTTTTCACTGCCAAACACGAGACAGGTTCGTCTGTCCATCCATCCATCCATCCATCCATCCATCGCGTATCTAGCCTTGTAACAGTGATCAGAAATGGCAGCACGCTTGAGTGATTCCGGTGACGACCCTCGGAAACGGGCTCTCTCTTGCGGCAGTTCGAACAGTAGCGACGATGAAGACATTGAATTTGCCTCTGGAAGTGAGTCGGACATGGATTTTGAAAACGAAATGGACTTAGACGACGATTACAGTGACTAAGAAGACGACGCGCTGGGTAATGTTCGAGTGTGGCAACGCGTAAACACTGAAAACCCACAACCTGCGCCTCCGAGGTTTCCCGTTTTGTGCAGTGCCTGGGATTCTGCGGCAACCCACTGAAAAAAAAGACATTCTCGGGTGGTTCGAGGTTGTTTTTTTTTATTGGGACCTTGTCGACCTCGTTGTGACAGGGACAAACCGCCACGCGGATCCGCATTTAGCAGCGCGGGGTTCTTCATGGAAACCGGTGCACCGCGAAGAGATGATAGTGTTCCTTGCGCTAATAATTTTGCAAGGAATCGTTGGCAAACCGCAAGTTGAGATGTATTTGTTAGCGCTAGTACGGAGAAACGTCTAGGCACTTGATCTTTTGTTACAGTGCGTATGTTCAAATAAATACTGCGCATTTCAGCATGTGTTATTCTATTACTCTTACATGCACTGAGAGAAAGCTTCCACAAAAATCAGCTTTTTCTTTTAAAAGTTTTGTGTTAATACCAATCAAGTAATGTATTTGCAATATCAGAACGACGTAAGAAAGAATATGTGGAAATAAAATTTGGTAAAGATTGTACATTTTTTTCGAAAATAACTTGGTGGTCAAAGGGTTAACTGCATACATTTCATAGTCACAGACAGGATGAGGACGGCAGGGCGTTTATCATAGGACGCCCGGACTCCAGCACGCGCTCGTTGCCTTCTGTCATGCTTTTGCTGTGCGTGCATGGTCGAAGCTCGTGAGAAGTTTAAGTGTAGGAAGCAGGTCAACTGAAAGACTTCCATTCCATTCTCATCCTGAGAGGCTAGGTTTATTTCATTAGACTATCGGTCATCATCATCCGTAACTAATATGCTTAAACTGATGGACCTGAACCCGCTCCACCTGCACCGTCAAGTTAAAATTTCTCTATTCACTATCAGATAACAGTTCTGGCCTGTGAAGTGAACACTATTTATTTCCAGATCAGCACAGATCAACAAGACTAACACCAAAGTCAGACGGCGTTCTAAGATCCTTTTCACTAAGCTCCTTTATAAAATTGTCCAATCTGCTCACGATGTTGAGTGAGCACGTGCCCTACGGCATGAGCTGGTTCGCCGATTTTATCAAGAAGCTTGTTCTAAAGGCCTTTAAAATGCCCATTTGACAGGGGTATTAACCAAAGTAATACACATATATTTTGCCAGAACTAAACTTTTTCAAAGGTGGAACTGCTTGCCGCCATTGCTTATTGAAAGCATAAATGTTGAATCACTTGAGTGTCTGCTAGTGTCCCAATTGTAGTAACTCGAGTACGCCAACATTGTCTGGTTCCCCCACACAGTCTCCGGCATCAATAAGGTAGAAACAGCCAAAAAATGACAGCGAGGTTTATTTGCAATACATATAGTAGGCACATCTCTCCCTCTGACCTTTGCAGGCCCCCCCCCCCCCCCCCCCCAACTGGATTTCTCCTCTCTAGAAAAAAAAGAGCAAAAATGGCTAGACTTATATTTCTATACGAATTAGCCAACAATCATTTTAACCTACCAAAAGAAAATTATCTAATCCACACAAGCAGACAATTAACATGGTACAACCATGGCAAACTTTATGAGGAAGACGTTGCTCATAATAACGGCTTTAAATTCTCCTTCTTTTCTCCAAACCATTAACGAATGGAACCTACTGCCTCAAAAAGTTGTTCATTCCTCTTCTATTGAAATCTTTCTCAATTACTTTGATGCCCACATTTCATCAAAAACTTACATTTTATACTGTTTTTCAAAATGCAATGTATCAATTGTATTGAAGTTATTTACTAATTTTTCATTCTTGACTTCCATATTTGCATTGAATATTGACCTGCAAAATGTGTGCTGAATATTGTTTTTGCTCGTAATATTTCAAACTGTACCACCCTACAAACCCCAAATGGGGTTAGTAGTAATGGAAATAAAATTAAACCCTCTCCTGCTTGGGCGGCTCTGCTGCATGCAGTATCTGTAAATAAATAAATAATAAAAAAATAAAAACCATAGTGTCTACAAATATGCAGGAAAAGGACACCTTTTCTGGGAATTATGATGGGCTTCAAGAAAAACCCTGTACTACCACATATGTGTAGCACAACAGGGACTGCTTAGACTTTTCGATGCAGTGCCAGCAGCCGAAAAAATTGGATTTGAAAATATTGAAGCAAAAGCCGAACGTGCCTCTTATAATACTGTACGGCATTCCTCGATAAGCTTAAATACCTTCAAACTTCCCAACGGTCAGGCGGACCTTAACCTCTTACTGCTAAAGGCACCACAGTCGGATCTCCTCCCCCAATACAAAACGCAGTGTCTAGAGTGCCGTCTAACGGCACTCTTGTGGAGTGTTCAAGCGCTGTTCGACGGCACTTTGCGCCCACATTCGAGTGCCGTCCTAGGATGCCCCTATCGAGCAAATTCCGTCCTTTTCCTTTAGCAAAGAATGTCTTGGTTTTGGCACTTTGTGGCCGAAATTAGTATGACGAAAATAATCTCCGGAGAAGGGGAACAGGGCAGACAAAGGACAAACGCAGCTAGTTGACTGGTGCGTGACCGAAAAAATCCGCCTGGTCTTGGTATTGAACGAGGGACCTCTCCATAGAGCACTACACTGGAAATGGAAATGTCCCAATTTGGTACCAGGACCAGGCGGATTTTTTCGGTTGTGCACCAGTCACCTAGCTGTGTTTAGAGATTTGTGTTTGTTTTTTGTCCCCCTTCTCCACGGGATTATTTTCTTCCCTCTTGTCCAGCTCGCATGCGCCTTTGCATTTAATTGCATTATCATCGAAATTAATCTGTCCACCTCAGCAGTACTTTTTTTTTTTTTTCTTGTATTACATTTGCCAATTATGACTATACTCAGATTCCATAAAACTTTTTTCATAACAAATAGTAACCGGTCTCACAAATGTTTAGGTTCAATAGTTCCTTTCCGAAATTCAGTCTGGCCGCTTCGATGACTATCATCATCATCATCTAAAAAAATGGCATATGTGTCGTACTAATGGCGGCCTTCTGTTTACCGAGGAAGGAACATGTTGAAGATACTCCTAAGCTGAGGATTCGAGGCCTATACATTCGAGGCATTAGCATATTGCGAAGCAGGAATTGAATGCAAGAGCTGCGCAAGCGTTCATTTCTATAACTCGGGCCCACTCAGTCTGTTAGTAGCCCAGAATCCACTTGAAAGCCCCTTGATGTATAGAACTTTATCAAGGCGTCTATCTGGGTTGGTGCTTCATTCTGACTGGTTGAATCTTTGTGGCAGTCAACACTGAAAGAAATGATCGAGAAAGAACTGTACAGTGAAGAGCAGATTCTTGTAGCCGTCGACTTGCTAAAGTGACAGAGCCCGATAGAATACTGCAGGCTACAAGTTCATTACAGCCGTTAGTACGGCAAAAGTTAAACCGCCATTTCAGCCACCAGATGGCACTAAATTTCGGAGTCTGTACGCCTGCCTCAAAAAAAAAAAAAAAAGTGGAACCTTTTTTTTTTTTTTTCTTGAGGGGGAGGGGGAGGTGTATTGCCGTTACTTGAGAACGTTGTTGCCGTCACTCGAGAAGAACTTAAATTTATTTTAAATCACACTCGCAACCTTCGAGAGAGTGCAACTTCGTCAAACTTGATGAGATCGCGCACCTGTACAGCGCAGGCACAAACATACATAAGAAAACATGCTGCTCGCTCCTGCAGCGTTTGTCTCACTCGAGTTTTACGGTAAAACAAATTGTCGGCGAGCTGCTGATGGAACGCATGTCAGAATAAGCGTGACTTGTATTTGACACTTTCCGACGGCACTTTAACGCTCCGCAAGAGCGCCGTCGGACGGCACTCTAGCCACAGCCAATACAAAAAGAAACCGAGGAAAAGGAGATGTGAGCGCGCAGGAACGTCAGAGGGAATAGACAATAAACACAAGGGACTTCTCTCTCTGCCCGCTGTACCTTCCAAAGGGAGCGAGCAAGAGCGTCATCTGCTCCTAGTGCAGGAACGGCGTGCGAAGTTCGAACGCCGAACGGTGGCGTTCAGACGCTGACGTTCGAATTATGAACGCGGGCGTTCGATGAAAATGGTCCGACTTTTTTACTTACCACCATGACGTTGAGCGCGTAGTAGTGTTTACGACACCAATATAGAGCCTTAGTCACTGTGCGGTCGTGCTGTGACGGGGCCTTGATGGCAACGAAGGTGCCGTCCACACATCCGACGACGCCGGGCAGGCAGCCGCGTCGAACGAAGGCCTCCCGGGTCGCCGCCTTCTCTTCGTCGGTCTGCGGGAAGGCCACCCATTGCCTGCCGAGGCAGTTCACGATTGCCGTGGCCACGGCGCGGATGGCCGCGCTGACAGTCGTCTGGTGCACAGCGAAGTGCTGGTCCCACGCCACCTCGCCTTGGTACCTGCCGGTGGCGAAGAAGTGAAGCGCGCACAGCACCTGCTGTTCGACCGTCATGACGGTACGGCCGCGGCGCCGCCTTCTCAGAGCCGGATCTGCTCGAAGTTGGTTGCACAGCCACCGTACTACGTTCTTAGACAGTCGATAACGCTGCCGGAATTCCTCGTTGGGCATGTCGAAGGCGTTGACATGTTCGAAATACCGCCGTCGCTGACGAAACAGGCCAAGCAAAAAAAAAGCCGCCACGGCCGCCATTTCTGCTGTTTTGACGAATGAATGGATATCTCAACCCGTGAACAGAGAGTTCGGTCAATGGGAGGCGCGGGCAGAGCCAGGGCGTGCACCAGACTCGGAAAGGGGGCTTGGCATGCTCTCTCGACCAGAGCCGTATATAGGGAGAGTTTGGTCAGTCTACGATCTCGCCGCCGAAACGCTCTCCTCCCGAGTGAGCCAATCAGCACGCGGCGCAGAGCGAGAGGCATGAGCGCATGCGCGTGAACTCCCGACTGCTCCCAGCTGAGTGGGGAGGGCCGCCATCTTCGATCATTCTCCCGGCGGAATGCGTGGGATCGGCATCTAAATCTCGATTATTGCCTTCTATATCGCTGGCTCTGGCAAGAAAATGACATTCTGTTATTCCTCGGTGGGTTAAACAGCTAATAAACGAAGATTTTTGGGCGTATGGCCACAAACTTTTATTCAGGCGAAAAAGAAGTCGGCCGGTAGCAGACGACGCGTAGCCTCAGCAGTGCTCTTCTCCGACCAGTCTCCGACAGCGTTGCTAAAAAATGGCGGTCGTCTCCTCTCTGCTCCCTTCTTTCTCTCTCGCTCCTTCGGCGCTCTCCTCCCTTTCATTTACTTTTCTCCTCTCCGGCGCCTTCGTCGCCACACCCACTGGCCAAACTCTCCTGCTCTTGACTAACCAGAAGCCGAAAAGAATCCCCTAGCGGTGGTAGCGAGAAACAGTTCTGATCGAAAGTCTATGTTCGTATATGGTTCTAATAAGTGCGTAAGAGTGGAGTGTAGTAACTCTTCGTGGTTGAAAATAGGGTGCACGTATTGTTTTGATCATGATGATGCAGAAAGATGTAAGAAACGAATGCGCCGCTCAACCCTGTTTTGCTCGGACAGAGTGTGACCACTCGGACGGCAGATTCCCGGCCCTCGGCGTTTGGCGTACGGATTATGTCGATCGTTCCGCTAGTCGCACTCTTCCACCATCGGTTGGTTGGTTGGTTGGTTGTATTGTTTGCCAGACGTGACATTTGCCTCACTCACGGTGGGGCAATCACGCTCATCATTTTTGATGAGCGTGATTGGTACATCACGTGTATCATATTTTCAGCCATCAAGAGTTACTCTAATGCAGTTATCAGGTTTGTTTCTCGCGACCACCGCCAGGGTACTATTTCCGGCTTCTGGTTGGTCACATTCGAATTTCTGAAGACGCCCTGGAACACGCCCAGCCCGCTTTCGGCCAATGGCATAGAGATCATATACTAAATCTAGAGGAAAAGGTCCGCCATTTTCCCATACATTCTGGCTGCCGCAAGCGGCGGACCATGCAGGCAGACCCTCTGGGTCCCAAACACGGTTACATCAGCAGAGCAGTTTCGTGAACTTCAACAATCCACGAACTTACCGGTGGAAAGATACTCGCGTTCTTTTCGAAGGTTTCTTTTTGCATAGCGCGCAGATGTACGGCCTCGCGTTAACGCTAAACTAAACCATATACCCGGCTTCGCTGGTGGGGCGCGGCTGGGCGCGGTTGAGGAATACGAAACTGCGCAACCACCACCTTTCCGAGATTTCGACGGAAGGGAAGTTAATGCAGCGTAATGACTTTATTGCTTTTTATAAGCGTTAGAATAGCTCAGAATTTAGTTTACAACGTTAAATTATCACTGTTTATATTGCTGAGAGTTTTCACTCTTCGTGTTTACCATGGCAACGTTGCTTTCTTTCTCTCGTGTTCTGTCGCTCTCTTTTGCGATCGTTCACTCGGGACCCAGGATGTCGGCGCACGGGATTTGCCACTCCTCCTCACCCACCTTTACCCCCCTGGCCAATGGCGCGTCCTCATTTGTCTCCTATACACCTTTCCAAAAACCGCTCCTAGGCCGCCGCCATGTTGCTGATGCTGATGCGGTTGGTGCGACTCCCGCTCAGCGCGGTTCTCTACCTACGTTTTTGCGGTTCTGCATTCAACGTTTTCTCGCCCCTCTTGAAAGTTTCCACTTAATTTTTTTTATGCGTGCTGCGTACCCTTTCTGTGTTATCTTCGATTGTGAGAAATAAGGCTGGTAAGTGCCTGCCATTCAAGCTTTTCTGCTCGACATTCACGGGAAACGAAAGACGTGAAGGACGTCGAACGACCCTCGACGCGATTTTGCGAACATTGTTCTCCCACCTCCCAGATATAATCCGCGTAAAATCCTCAGCCATCTCCAAAAACAGTCGTCCGGGTTGGGGTGAGAAACGGGTCAGTCGCGTTTGTTTCTTTGCCTTGGTGCGGTTGTGAAAAAAGGAAGCTCTCCCCAAGACGTGCCCCAAAACGAAGTCATCCCGGATTCCGTCCGATCGTCAAGATGTGACTGTCGTCGACTGTGACTGTGCTATTTGAGATCTTTCTCAAATAAATTCGTTTCGGATAACGCTGCATCGTGTGGTACGTACGAATGTTAACACTTCCTCAATTGTATGTCCGTGTCCTGTCCATCGGTAAACACGTTATTTGTGAGCGTGAAAAATGCATGCCGTTCGGCCCTCTTCTGTTGCAATTTATTTTTGACAGCTAAGCCCTTTGTCGTTTCACATGCGGCGAATCCCGCGGTGCGGTCAAAACTTATCGCAAGAAAAAAACAAATAACGAACTATTCATTCCAGTCGCATTCGTTCTGTCGCGCGTGTACCCAACAAAAATAGTTTAGATTTTTTTTTTTACTTTTTTTTTGTTTTTTTAAATGCGGCACAATGCTTTCTCAATGTCCTCGGGAACATACATGTACCATGAAACACAAAATATAGCGGGAAAAGACGAGAATTTAGCCGCCAGCAGCGTTTGAAACTGCACCTACGCAGGCTGCGCCTATTGAAATCACAGTCCACTCAATTAGGGTTAGGAGGGACGCCGGTGAGAGTCTAGCCTCAAACTCAGTGACTGGGCTCACAAATGGTTTGTTGCCCCTGGGGTCGAGTGTTTTTTGGAAAGGTGTATACTTCCCAACGAATGGCCAAACTCTCTACATATACGGCTCTGCCCGTGAATAAATAGATGGATGTTAACGGCTATAACTTTTGTGATGGGCGGCAGCTTGCGCCACCTAGTCGGCAATTTGAACTTTTGCTGACCCCCCTGTCTCAAAGGGGTTAGGTACCGCCAACTAACTAACTAACTAACTAGACAAACGTATGATTCTTCCCGCCCTTCTAAAGGGTAGCTGCAAAGAAAGAAAAAGTGTTCTGTCAAAGCAAAACAAACCTTCCGCGAAAAAGTTTTTTTTAAAGCAATATTTACGCCACAGGACTCAGAATTAGGGGAAAATCCAGAACTCCGTTTTTTTTTTCTTTTTTTTTTTGGAGGGGGGGGGGAGAGAGTTTGACTTTGTTTGGGGGGAAGGAAAAACGGCCGCCCTTGTCGCCCCCCCCCCCCCCCCCCCCCCCCTTTCCCCCTTGGATCCGCCCCTGGTCAGAACCTCTCCTCATTTGAAACTCCCGCTCTTTCGACCCGTGCGGACGGAGAAGTATGCCCTGCCCACTGATCTCTATCGCGCTTCCCCGCTTGTTCGCTGCAGCCCAAGTGAAGCCACCGGACTTCACTCGCTTGAGATACGATTTGCCGTTTTTGCTAGCCTTTGCTGCGGTTTTCCAGCGTGCTGTGGACACGTTTTCTACTCGTTCGTCGTCATTAGCCGAAGAAGTTTTTTGAAGACTCTGTGTATTGTTGAGACTTGCCGTTGTGAACACGTGGAAAATTTTACGAAAGTGCAGTGTCGCAGGAAAAAGGCACAACGCGTCGAAAGGAAGGGCTGGCGGCGTGTTCAAAGCTTCCTTGGCACGCCGAAGTGCCGTGTCTCTGTGCCTTCGCACGCTTGGATACCGACCAAGAACCGACGCCGTGTGTATGTGTCTAGCGAGTGCAATGTGCGTGAAGCTGTTCGTGCCTCTGGATCAGCGTCTTTTCCCCTCGCGGTTTAGGAACGAGCTTAATCCAGCGTCCACTAGCGACGGAAGGTGGGGGGAAGGTACGTCTTTTGTTTCGTCCTTAGACGATTTACACAATAGGTTGTATTCGTGAAGCGGTGCATGCTGGGACCAGCGCCATCTTGCCGTCCTCGGGAGCAGACAGTCGCACAGTCGCGTACGGACAACCGCATCCTACCTTTTCAAACTTCAGGCGAAGCCGCAGCCGCGCTTTCTGCCTCGGGTATGGTGTCGTGTGTGGTGGTAGGTTGCCACAACAAGACGCAATCGTCAAAGAAGAAGAAAGAGTGCAAGGTCGCAGACGCTCGGTTCTTTAAAATACCGAAGGTACGGACTCGTGAATGCGACACGACGCGAACACTGTCCGCGAGGAGACAGCGAGAATGGTTGAAACGCATCAACAGAAAAGACCTGGACGCTGACCTCGACAAGTACAAGGTGTGCTCACGCCACTTCGTCTCGGGTGAGTGTCGGCATAGTTTGTTTTTCTCTGACATTAACTTCCTGAAGCTTTGATTAGATTCGCACATACTACTTGCTTTGGTTAGATTCGCACATACTACGCGACAAAACAAAAAAAAAAAAAAAAAAACGATTGCATTCCTCACATCCGCCGACGCTGCACGCATGACGAAGTGAATTTCGGGCATTAAAACAAAAAAGATCCTTGTTTTAGACAGATCCAGACTGTCTGGTTTTGGCGACAATGTCGCACGCTGTTGAGAAATTTCGCCAGTGCAGCGCGACCGCTAGCCTGGAGTCTTTACTAGGTGCACCACGCAGTAGCGATGCACGACTGCACACCGGTACGATGTTTGGGTCCTGCAGCACGAGCTTTCCACGTGCTCCGATCTAAGACGCGCTAGGCCACCATCATCTCCTTCGCGCTATCACTATCACTGGCTACTACACGCTCCTGAAACAGACCGTTTCGCCGTTTCAAACGAAATTAAGCGAAGATACGCGTCCGCAAAAACATGAAAAGTTAGGCTCACCTTCGAGACGATGATCACGCTGTCCGCGTTCGCTGCTTTCATTGCCGGCTCCTGGACCCATCCGCTCGTAAGGTAATTATGGGCGTCTAATGATTTGTACGCTTTTAGCTGCTTGCGCGTCACGAAACTTGTCTTGAGGATCAGGTAGTTGTGTATGT